AATTTATATATAGGGGTCTAAAAAGTAAAAATAATTACAAATAAGGGCCCAAATTGAAAATAATTACATATAAGGCCTGAAATTTAAAAAATATTATATATAAGAGCCCAAAAAGCGTATGTACATATGAACATACATATGAAATTAGACCTGTGACTCAATTTTGTGGCTTGATAGCAATTAATTAAGTTCGTTGCATAAGAAATATAAGTTTAGCATAAGAAATATAAATTTAGTATAAGAAATATAATTATCGATTGTAAATTAGTATGTAATTATAAATAAGAGAAAAAATGGTCTTTGATCTCTTTTTTATAATAAATTTTATTCGCTTAGACTCATATTACCTATCACTATTCTTAATGTTATAACAAATCTATTTATAATAATGTCAAATACAATACTGCAAATTAGTATAATATTTCCTGATATGAAAAGCATTCGTTCAGCTCATGAGAACTACTCGGTTGAAACCTCTTTGCCTTATAAGTTCAGAACTTATAAGTCCAACAAACTACTTGTTGTTTGTCCCACATATAAAACGGATGAAGCTAGCACTTGCCTCTTTACGGTTTCTGCCAACAAATATAAAGATGGTTATATTTATATTATAAGGTTAATTCAACATGATCAAAATTGCCCAACCTTTTTGAAAATATTCAAAACATGTAGATCATATCTTGTAAAGTTTACTGTACCATTGGTTGAGGACATACTGGCACTTAAACCTTGTGATATTGTAAATCGTATTTGCTCTGAAGTAGGTGCTGAGGTATTGTATATGAAAGCTTGGAGAAGTTGAGCTATTAATAAAAAATATGGCATAGAAAAAATAAAAAAGAGCTACCAATATATAAATTCACTACTTGATAATTTGCTGATTGAGAATACCAGAAGTGTTACTGCATTTGAGGTGGATAGTGAAAACTGATTTACTCATGTATTTCTATGCTTATGGCTATAGATTAAAGCTGCTGAACATTGCAGGCCTGTATTTACATTTGATGCTTGTTATTCAAAATCCAGTTACAAGAGTGTGTATTTTAGTGTAAGTGCGATTGATGGTAAAGGCAGGCTTGTACCAATAGCATTCGCTATTTGTTCTGTTAAAAATTCTGACAACTGGATGTGGTTTTGTGAGCATTTGCATACGGCTCTTCTATTAATGAATATAATTAAAACTGTAATTATAAGTGACCGTAAAAAAGTATATTGGTTTAAATATTCAATGCTGCAATACAATAATACAGAAGTTATTAATATTTATAATTATTTACATATAGGATATTTTGGATACTATACAAACAAAACTTCCTAATGCTTTTCACACATATTGCATATAGTATATCGAAAAAATGTTAACACAAAATTTAAAACAAAGTTTGGGGTAAAATCTGGGCTGCGGCTAAAGCATTGCACATGGAAGAATTTGACAAAATAATGGAGAAAATTTCTGATTTACGTGAGGAATCTATTTATCTTAGTGAAATACCTCCTGTAACATGAACCCTTAGCAAATATCCTCGAAGTAGATTCAGCCATCTTACTTCCAATATATCTGAGTCTTTAAACTCTTGGTTATATGATGAGCATCTTGTAGAACCATTCGATACAATCATTTTATTTGTATGCAGGATCAATACACTTTATTATGATCATCATATGACATATTCTTCAATCCAAACAATATTACTATTTTCAACTACTCAGCAACTTCAATCTGTTATCAACAGATATCACAGTAGAATAGTATATTAAGTCAATGAGTCCATTTTTGAGGTTAAGAGCAATAATAGTAATTTTCGTATTGTAGATCTTACCTTATTAACTTGTACGTGTAAACAATTTCAAAAGTATCAGTTTCCTTGCATATATGCATGTACAGCTATTCTTAAGGCATGTATACAGCCTTTACGATTTGTTTATTTTATATATCACACTGCACTCTTTGAAATATTTATAATAAGTCTGCCCAACCCGTTGACATGAAAACATGTTTTCTTGATAACAAAATGTTGCCACCAGCCATACCTTTTATAATAAAATTTTTATAATAAAAATTTTAAATCGTTATAATATCTCAATAAAGGTTTTTATTGTTATATATCGATATAATATCATATGATAAAAATGTGCTGGATTACAAGATCTCAGATTTTAAACAGCGATTACGTAACTGATTTTGGTGGTCATGCTAGGGGAGTTATTTAAAAGACCAATTTTTTTTATAATTTCCACTAACCTTAACTTTAATTCTAGCCTAACCCTAACGACAATGACCAGAATTATTTTGTCAGTGAAATGCGTTTCGGTGAATTAACGAATTATTTTGTCGGTGAAATGCGTTTCGGTGAATTAACCTGTCGGTGAAATGGAAAATGGATGTCGGTGAATTGTTGTCGATGAAATGTTATTTCTATGAAATAAGCATCAGAGAAGTGAGCTGAACCGAATAAAATACATATTTTTATTTGTGTTTAATCATGAGCCTCCTAACGGCGCGAACTCGGATGGAAATATCAAAATGGCATCGATGTCGAGTAAACGAATTTAAATCACACTAAATCACACCAAATCACATAAATTCCGTGTCCCTCTAAACTCTAGCTGTAATGGAGTTTGTTATAACAAGGGTAGCCTGATAAAAAACGGTAATCCGAGTTTTATATTCCATGTTTTATTCATAAATGTTGCATATTTATGGAAATTAGACTTTCAAATGACTGAAATTATTGGTCTGCCACATTATAATTAAAAAGATAAAATGAAAATATTCAAATAAAATTTATTATAGTGTAGAATGTGGTACTCTGATACAAACAAAAAGCAATCGCTTTTCTTATTGCTTTTGTACATTTCTTTATATAAGCCACATACCGTGCTTAACAGCATACGCAAAATGTTTTCTTTCACCAGCATGGTTTAACATTTTGCAAAGTATTAGAAGATTTGACTTTCGCTGAGAGTTACGACTTTCACCGGGAGATTTCGCTTTCAGGGAATTTCGTCATTACACCGGATTTAGTCTTCATATTCACTTAACAATTATAAATGATAATATATTTTTCATTTTTTTTTAGTGGGCGGTTACAATGATAGAAATAAATATTTGTGTTGTGCAAAAGATAAATATTTAATATAAAGCTTTTATATAAATATTGAATGATGCGTTCAAGTTTTCTAGATTTGGCTAGCAAAGCCAGAGTAAAAATTAAAACTGTAAACGTAAATAGACTGTAGACGTAAATAGATGAAATCGTTTAATTTTTATTTTCTATATCTTTTTAAAAGTAATTGATGATTTATAATTAAGAATTGAAGATTCGTTAAATTACAGAACATGGAAGAAGATAGTGTTGAAATACAAATTGAAGATAATAAAGGTCCACCTGCAATCCATGAAAAAGGTCAAATAAAAGAATCGGCACTATTTACAAAAAATGCAGCAATTAGTCAGGACGAATCATTTCTAGTTATATTTGATTGTATGTTTTCTAGTTATATTGTTTTAGTTAAATAGTTTTGTAATAATAAGTTATAAAATTTCATTTTAATTAAATTTAAATTGAAATTTGTTTTTAGCAATTGACGAAAATTATAAAAATGTCACAATACGAATGTATAACGTCAATATCGATGAAGCAGGAAATAAAGATCTTTCTAATCCATTTGAACCATTAAAACTTACACTTAATTTTACCGATGAGCATGAAGAACAAAGTAGGTTGATGGAGTCGAGTTATTTTTCAGGTTGGTCTATTGCTGAATCAAATGAATCAAATGAGTATCATGAAAGTTTTAGATTGCTAGCATTATCTTGTATAAGCGACAATGATATGCTAGATATGCCAGAGGCGAAAAAAAAAAGTAGGCGTGGTTATACTAAAGTGTGGATGATCGGAAAAGACTTTAAAGCCAAAGAATGTAGTAGTATAGAAATAAATGATGGTGGAATAATCCAGTTTATTTCTGGTGCAGATGATTTCACGCTTATTTTGTTAAAAGGGAATGGAATATATAAACATGGTTTACAATATTTATCGAATGACATGAAATTTTATCATAAGGTTTTACCATTAAATTATCCAGAAAGAATAACTCATGCCTTAAAGTATAACTGTGGTGAATACGTTAGTAGATATGTGACCGTGCCACCGAGTGACATCGTGCGTAAATATCTTTTGAGATGCTTAAATAGGCATTACCTATTAGTAGACACATCCGATAGAGATCCAAACAAAAATATAGAAATTTATGATTTAGAAACTCATCAATTAATGAATGTATTTAAAAGGTATAAACTTACTTTATCAATTTTGGATCGTGAAAAACCTGGTGCATTTACGGTATCTAATGATGAAAAGATATTAGCGTACGTATCTGGAAATGACCTTAAAATATATTTAATAGAAAATGGTCTTGAATTATCATCTTTATCATGTAAAGGTGGCATGTTTGATGTGGAATTTATGAAGTTTGTCATAAATGATGAAAAATTATTAATATTCAAAGCTAATATAACTGCGGCAGTCTGGGATATTTTTAATTCTGTTAGAGAATCTATCGAATTCATACCTTTGGAAAAAAACATAGCTTCAGGTTTAGCCAAGCATATGACGAGAATAGTCATTGGCCCTAGATCAGAAAAATTAGAAAACCTAGACAAATTAGAAGAAAAATTTGAAAATAAGTATTTTACGATCCTTAATATAAGACCATTCTTTGATGAAAATCAAATAGCATGGGATAAATTAGTTCTAAGTGAACATTTGACAAGATCAGGTCTTGATTCGAATTGGAAAGAACTAATTCTTTCTAATTGTGAAAGTAACATAACTAACGCGAGGCCTAATGCTTATGCCATTGAAGAAGATGTTTCGTTATTGGATTTGGAAGAATCTGAACTTAAGTATTATCATGGAACAGAACCGTGGGCTGTTCATCCTGCAGAAAAAATAATTGATACTAATTTTAAAGTGCGACCTTCGTTTTCAAGACATGTTATCTACCTTGATAAAGAAAAAAACATAAGACTCCTTATAGGAAACAATACTATACAAGTTTGGCGTGGTAAAAAACTCGAATTCATTCAAATCGTTAATGATGACCCCGATGAACCAGAAAAACCTCATGAAAAGTTCAAAATTATTAAAATTAAATATGGTGTAGAAAAGGTTGATCTTTTGATTAGCAAAGAAGGAAAAAACATCCAGATAAAAATAGAACATGAAGATGATATCATCTACATAGTAAGAAGTGCAATCGATGCACTTGTGTATTTAGATACTCAAAGTAATTCTATTAATCTTGCTGTAGGCGGTAAACGTATAATATATAACGATATAGTTCAACAAACACGAAATATTATTACAAGGTTTATTACCTTATATTCGAATCCTTGGAGACTAATGGATTTTCGTTATAAGCTAATGAGCAAATTTATTCATAACCCGTATTTTATTTAGTAATAGAAATGAATCGGCTAATGATTCTGAAAAATGTATTTCACGAATCCTTTCTGTGATCTCAAAAAGTGATAATGAAAGTAATAGCAAAAATGACATCAAAACTGAATTAAAGAAAGTCAAAAACATTATTGTGAAACACTCTTTAAGTCATAAAAAAATTGAACAAGAGCGTCCTCTCCATTCATGGCAAGTTCCATTAAAAGAAATTTTCCCTGATGAAGGTTAGTTATTTAAAAATTGGAATATGTAGCAATAATATGTTCATATGAATATAATTGTTTATACAAAACTTTTACTATTCTCAGAATCGAATATCGATGTGATAATGCTTACACTTTTCCTAGAATATTATTCAAACAATGCGATGGATAACATCGGGTGGATGAACGTCGTGTCTGAAATCATACCATTATTATACGAAACAAATCTCGGTTTGTTATTAATATTTTCTAAATTTCAACTTTATCAATTAATTTTCTCAATTTAATTAATATAATTCAGACTGGTACGCTCAAGAGTTCCTTTACAAGCCTTGTTTTGGTAACAAAGCGTTAGATTTGTCTAGTATGAAGTTTCATGCGGTTAAGAAAAGTTCCGAAAATTCCTTAAAAGTCTATATTCCTATAACGCAACTCATTCCTCGTGGTGAATCTTTGAGTCTTAAAAATATCAGGTAACGCCTTTTACTGCTATTATTATTATTATTATTTTGTTTTTTTAAGAGTGAGGCCTGGCCTCGGTCTTTTTTACTACTATTATTACTAATTTAAAATAAAGAAAATGGTGTGTATTTAATTTTTTTTTATAATTATAGTGACGATGAAATTCCTTACATTAGAATGGTACCTTTAATTAATTTTGCAACGAATAAAAAAGCTCTAGAACCAATGGATAAAACTCGGCGCATGATTATAAAACTTTTCTTACCTGGCAAATACTCATCTATTGAAAAAGAGGAATATAGCCATTTTATTCGGCTCTTACGAATGATGAATGCAGATGATGCATTTTATGATAACCCTCAATGGAAGCCGTCATGAATTAGATGTGGTATTCTTCTAAATACCATTGGCATCATACATTACAAATTTACATTGTATATCTTTATCCTATTCGATTATTTCCTGGGCATATGTTGCTCATCTCGAGGTTACTGGTTTTCTACACGTCCCAATGATTCTGATTATGCTCTTATTTTATTATTTAGCATATTATCATTTTGTAATTGAGGTACACCAATACAAATTTCATGGGAAGGACTATATAGAAGATTTTTTCAATTGGATGGATAACGTTGCCACTTTTTTACCTACGATCCTCTCTTTATATTTTGTTTGAATATAATATAGAGAATGGCTTTAAAAATACCACTACTACTCGAATAATTGTTTTACTCATCTTTATAAGCATTCTATTTCTCTGGTGCGAGTTGGTATGTACATAATTTCTTTATTTTCATAATATGAAATGAGATTAATAAATTATTAAAAAATTTTTTTTATTATTCGTAGGTTTTGTTGTTGCGCGTTTTTCCAAGTACTCTAATATTCTTTTGAGCGTGAAATTATCATTATCAATTTAAATAATTTTAATTTTAATTTTATTTAGAATTTGCTAAATACCTCCATATAATCTTAAATATCATTATTTCAATTAGATCATTTTTATTCTTTTATAGTATAATGATTATTGCAATGGTAATTATAATTCTTTTATTAACTAAATTATTAAAGTTAAATTATAATTAATGGTTTTCTTTACATTATCAGGGACATGCGCTGTAAGATTTCTTTATTTATAAATTATTTATGGATTCAGAATGATTCAAAACATCATGATCATCTAACATATAACATTCCATAGATTTATTCTTCTTAATCATCCCTCCTATATATCATTAAAACAAGCACCAGATGCTGATAATCCATCCACAAATATAGTTATTGCTGTACCTGATAATCCATTCACAAATATAGTTAGTGCTGTACTTGCCACATATAATTGGGATTCAATTCAATTTAATGCTTGGGATTTTTGGCCCCTTGTTATTATTAGTGTAATTGGTAGATTTTTTTACATTGTTATATTGGCAAATGTAATTATTTCGTTTATGAGGTATGTTTAACATTATTTTTTATAGGTTTTAATATTATTTTTAATTGTTATTAAAGTTATTACAAATTTTTGAATTAAAAGTCATGCATTTGCAAATGCGAAAGAAGAAAGTAGACGTGGCGTGCTCAGGTTTCAAAAAGATTTGATTTTTGACTATGCAATTCTTGAAGGATCCTCTTTTACCTCTAAAATAAATAGTTTTGATAGCCAATTTAAAGATAAATTAAGAGTAAGGTATATATGTTTTTTGTATGAGCCATTACTTAGTTATGCATGGAAACTACAATCCGAAGAGATTAGCCCAAAATGGGTAGAAACGTATGGATTTTTTGCAAGGAAAGAAAGTTCTGATATTGATGAAGTTGATTTTATTTGGACCAAAACAGAAAAGACATAAATAGTAATACGCTTATTATCATATCACTATCTAAATAGTATTTTTCCTAATTAAATATAGACTTGCACCTAAATGTAACTTGTGATGGTAATTAAATTAATTTGGTCATTTTAAAAAGCTGATATTAGAATAAATTTCGTTTTTGCAAATTTAAATATTGAAATTATTGCAGAATACAATAAATAATTTTAGCGCTAAAATATAAATTATATGAAATTGCAATAAAATAAATATATATACATATACAATTAGCATATACAAATAGATAATTATAACTAGGAAATCAGGATCTGATAAACATCAGAAATACAAAACTATCGTCAAATTTTATTGGTTGTTTCGCCCGGACATGCATGAAGCTTGCTTGTACCGTAATCGTCCTCGCTACGCTTCGGACAATAAATGCTATTGCTATGTATTTTAATATTTAGCATTGGACTAAATTAATACTCAATTCGCTATTGCTATTACTGTATAAAATTTATTGTAATAATATTTTTTTTTTGTTTCCAGGTTTTTTTGAGAGTTCATATATTTAGTACGGTACGGTGGTTTGGTCTGTACTGTATGTACTGTTATACATGGGTGCCTAAATTGCCCATCTTAATAAAAAGGTAATTACGGCATTTAGGCAGCCGAAATTAGTCTTATAT